ATCACTATCACTTTGCATAAAATTTAAGCTAATTGCCACGTGTATTTTCCCCAATTTTTTTAATAAATTACGTTCGTGTAAAAGATAGTTAAGACTTTTCTATTACCCACTACGCACTGCATAATTACCACGCAAATGAAGTATTATATAGACCGATATTACAATTTTCTTTTACCGGCATAGACCCTATATTATACTGCCCAGTGTAAAATTATACGATAAAATTGATATATATTTATTCTATTAAGTTTTTTAATAAAAAGAAATAACAACGCTTTAATTAACATAGCACAAGATCTATCTGATTAATAATAGAATTTTTACTTCAACAATATGCACAAGCAACTATCCAAAAGGTCCACATTTAACAAACCCCCCCCCCCAAAAAAAAAAAAAAAGGTCCACATGCTTTTTGCAGGTACCTTTGTAATATTAATTAATTATATGTGGTTTTCAACGAATCCATGTGATCGTTCTCTATTAATTGGATCGGAAGTCAAAACTATGGGAGAAAGTCAACTTCTGAGGGAAAAAAGTCCATCGCAACAAGGACCTCATAATATTCTGAAGTCAACAATAGTTAATTCCTACAAAAAATCCCTTACCCTATTTTTCTTCTTGGATTTATTTTTTGGAACTTAGAATAAAACATTGTCGTAAACTTTGATGGTATGTAAAATGATATTTTTATAGTATTGAAAATTAACATTTTGTCATTGACATTTGAATTCAGCAGAGAAATCTCTGTTCATCCATGCTCCAGCAGCGTTACTCAATTTCGAAAGACCCTTTCGAATGAAATACTAGCAAATATATAGCAACCCATTAAGAAGGGTGCTCACATGAATAAACAATAATTAAATAGTGATCCGATATTTTATTTTGGGATGTACTATTGATGTTGATTTTAAAAAAATTACATTCAGGTCCCATAAAAAAAATTTATTAATAAAAAGTCTTATAAATTTAACAAAATACTTTCAAGTCTCAAATCCTGTTCATTGACAATTTGATTAAGAACATTAATAATTGAGTAACGGTCATTTATAATTTGTTATTACAAGTTGTCATGTTCCTTTACAAGTTGTAAATGATCATTGCCTAACTATCAATACCCTTAGTCAAATGTCAATACATAGGATTTTAAAATTTAAGAGTATTTTGTAAAATTTATAAAACTTTTCAATAATAAATTTTATTTTGTGGGACTTGAATGCAATTTTCTTTTGATTTTTTACCGCCGATAGTGGCGGAGCCAGGACCCAAAAACCAGGGGATGTGGGATAATTTAATAAAAAAATTAATATTTTTTAAAATAATAATTATATTATAGGACTAAAATTATAGTAACATAAATAGATTAATTATCATTTTTCTTCTTAAAAATTATAATGACCAAGTTGATATGATTTTTTATGTAATATGCCCTTCATATCTTATTAAAACCATTAAACTATTTTATATCTAATAAGTTTTTGAGTCAAAAACTTTTATTTAATCTAAAGGAAGCAAAGGATTAAGAATAAGGGGTGTAAAGTTATAAAATTTTTATACCGTATTTATAATATTCTCAAAGTGAAGGGGTGCATTTGCCCCCCTCACTAACATGTGGTTCCGCTACTTATCACCGGCATTGTTTTTATGTACTATATGTGATATGAGATTAAAAAAATTGAATAAATTCACCGTTATTATATATAGATGTTCAGTGATTTTAATTAAATAAATATAACATGTATATAAGGATATCTATTCACAAAATAAAGGAGTTATTTGTAAGTACTGCTGTACCAAACCATGTGTGTTCTAATAATCCTATTTTCCGACGTATTATGAGATCAGCGCAAATTAAATCTTTCGTCATCAATGTTCAGTATCAGAGTTCAATTGTCAAAGCATCATCACCAGGTTTGACCAAGAGTTCGTCTTTAGAGTCTACCGTTTATATATACTATTAATTAATTAATTTCTCTCCTGTTAATTAAGGGTCACAAAGCATTCACTACCTACCTATAAAAGAAAAGAAAGTGCACTAACGAACTCATAATTTTTTTTGGACAATAACGACTTTGCCAACAATATTATTAATTAGAAATTTATTCTGCAGATCTTAACATGGGTAGAGGGAATTACGTATGTATAAAATATGTTTAGAACATGGCCATCAAATTGAAAGAGAAGCATCTAGAATATGATAAGCAAAAAATGGAAAAGATGATTGATTATGAATTTTAATTGATTATTACATCATGTGAAACCTTTTTTGACCAGAAGAAGATATCACACACTGAGATGTGGACTGTGAAGAAACACATGAGACCACATGGAACCGTTTGATTAAATTACAATCTTGAACACTAACTTTCAATTATTATAAAGGAAACTAATAAAATTCGTTTGGCAGTTGTAATTATGAATTTCATATACCGAACTTACATGTGCATGCAGCTGAGATACTTCTAACTCCCAAGTTCACTGATATACTCTGCTGTTGACCAACTTGCATATATATATATATATATATATATAATATTAGCAATTAATTAATATGATCAAGCTACCTATTCCATCGTGAAGTTAAAATTTAAGAATTGCCGAAGCATAATCCAGGGGTTTGTGTTTAGTGTCAATAATTGCTATATATGGAAGTAGGTAAGGACGTTGGGAAGATATATATGTGCAGTGTATGATTTTGCCACCTATAATTATGTTGTACTTGTTGAAAATATCCCAATAATTAATCAAAATAATCAAAGTAAAATTCAATGAGCATACCTATGAATCCATATTGATCTAAAAAAAATATAAGCACAAGTAAAGATCTCGATTGTTTCAAGAACAAGCAAAGACCCAAACTAATAATCCTTTAACTACAGGTTATTTTTTATATTTTTTAATTGACTGAGTTAAGAGAATTTGAGAGAGTTAAAATTAATAATTAACTAATTAGATTATAAAACACTACATTTCTATCTATATAACACTTATTTTTTTATAGGATTCGATGATTTTTTAAGTTTTATTTTTAAATTTTGTTGGTGGCTTAATATTATTTGATTAATGCAATTCAAATGGTAGATTGTTATAATATTTATAATCCAACAACAACATGTATGCATGCTTTCACATTTCTTGATATTACTGAAAAAAACTCTTCATTATCGATAGTGGTTTGCTCGGGTGGAAGAAGCCTGCTTTTTTTTTTTTTTTTGAAAAAAAAAGGTCGAGATTTGAGAATTGGAACCATGTGATGAGTAAAAAAAAAGAGAGAGAGAGAAGTTACCTTCACTTGGATACAAGAATAATCAAATTTGATCTGATTGTATTGGATATCAATAACTGTGCAAAGGAAAATCTTTTAGCTTTCCATAGAGATGGCAGTGGGCTGCAATAATTTAATTTTTTCACTTTCAGTTCTTATTCGTCCCTTTCTAATGTTTAGTTTTATACCTATCTTGAGATCAGATGCAGTGTATTCAGTTATGATATTCTATATATTATCGAGGAAAAACATAAAAACATAGCCGTTGCATTAATATCGGAAAAGACCATATATATGATTACATTTTTTCTGCCAACGACTATATTATTATATTAACTTTTAGAACAATAATAATTATACATCATATATACCCAGAAACTGTGATGGACCCCTTCACAATCATTAATCGCAATTTTTAAAATGATATTGGGATCCGTATGAATCCACCAATAATCCAATAATTAATTGAAGAAAAGAAAACAGTAAGCTCCAATCATGAATATGAAAAAACACTGTCCAAAAACTAGATGGAAAAAGGCCCCACCAGAGTGATTATTAATTTCTCTGTATTCACTAACTTGCTCAACCCTAACCACAAATAGTCCTGTGTCTGTAAATGTTAAAATATGTAAGTGCACATGGTACATATATTGGATCTATTGCTGGTCCAAAAAAAAAAAAAATTGGATCTATCTCTTTTGGGGAAGCCCTTAAAATGCGTTTTTGGAACCATGTGGTATTGAAAATGACATGCTTGGACTTATTTCTCTTCATCATCATATGTATTAATGTCGCAAGTAAGACAAACTTGTTACATCGCTCGTACTCTGACAAGGAATACTATGAAAGTGACTGCCCTGGCTCCCAACATCTTTCAATTAAATTAGGGTTTAATCACTATTAATTAGACGTTCACTGGGATTGTAATTAATATAGGCCTGGTTGCATGTTGAATATATTATATATATATATATAAAGGTTAGTTAACTAATTTCACATTTGATCATACTAATTAACGTGCCCTACTGAAAAATACATTTTTACATAGATCTGCCAAAATTCAGAAAAGGGTCACACTCGGTTGGCATGGATTCCTTTTGTTTTTTGTTTTTTTTTGTTGGGGAAAATTAGTACCAGACACGAAGATATGTAATTCTTCAACCAGTCAAACAATTAAGTAAATGAATGTTGTTCTTAGTTACTATCACAGTCATCTGCGCGCGCGCATATAGTTGGGCTTAATTCTATTCATCCTGATAACAGCGTCTGCAATATATATGTTGTTAATTTGGTAGTCTTTAAGGTAGAAGCCTCCTCTCGTTTAATGGTCCAAAGAGAAATATTTTTAGACAAAACTGAAACTACTGAGTTTAACATAAATTACTTGTAGGCAAAACTATTTTTCTTCCTGTAGTTATTGTCCCTAACAGAAACGCACAAAAAGGGTCTGATAAAACAACTCAAGGTTGCTTATGAAGTGGTTGAATCTGATGTAACCGACGCGGAGACATCGTATCATGGAATCAAAAAATAATAATGTTGTTATATATGGTCAAAATGGACCCAACAAGAAGGATCAGGATAGAGAGACTCTGAGAGAGAGAGAGAGAGAGAGAGAGAGAGATTTCATAGGCAAATTAGAGGACCTTAACTCAACTACTGGCAGTGGAATGACGACCCCATAAAGAATCAACGACCCATATGTAACTTATCCCTTTGATATTATCCAAAACTCGCGCTCGTGTGTTGATTTTTCTGAAAGTCTCTGAGTGTCTGTGTCCGTACTCGCAGAACTTGTGTTCCTGTGTAAACGAGTGAGATTATATAATGGAGGTGGCTAGAACTTTTATGGTGGTCCATTAAGGGGTCCTTATGGTCCCAAACCCTAACCCTAGTTTCTTTGCTAGGGTTGCACCCGCTTGTGTGATTGGGGCCACAGCCATGTGAATTCCTCATGGGCTAGGCGGAGTTTCAGTCTTTTGTGTTGATTTTGATCTTTTGTTTTCATTGGTTATCTACTCAGAAAAACCTTAATCTGACACATGACTTCCATCCAATAATGTGTTTCATGCAGCATCAGTTTCTTGAGTTGACAAGAACCAGTAACTCGGCGGTAAAGAAGGCGGAGGACAAAAAGGCAGACGCTGAGTTCTCGTATATATGCCTGCACTTTTCTTCACACACACACACACACACAAAACAGACCGTGTCTATAACCCTAGTGAAGCAAATCCAAATGTCCCCATGATGATTTTGTTTGTTGCCTTTGGTCTCTCAGGTTGCATCTGTATTGTATAACGGAGTTCTTAGGGTCGCAGTTTTGCTGACAAGACACTCTTACTTCATCTTCTTTCATGCTGCCACCAACCAAGGTTACTGTCACAAATTAACACTCAAGTCTTTTTCCTGTTGTAAGTACTACATCTTCTACTGCTGCTCATTTTCTCACATGCCAGATTAATTCGTCTAATAACTAAAATTACCCAAAAATTGGGACGTGTCTATTTGTGTGTTTTAAAATAATGTTTTAATTTCCTTAACTTATGATAGGTTTTATTTTACTTTTGTCCATAAGTTTCTGTTCCAATGTTATCCTTTCTCTTCTCCTCTCTCTCTCTCTCTCTCTCTCTCTCTATATATATATATATAGTATTAACAAAATAAAGTGTATCTTTTTGTAAAATAAATTTTTTGAAGTACTTTAATTTACTTCAGAGTTGTTTTAAAGAATTAGTTTCGTCAATCCTTAGAAATAAAGTAGTATTATTTACTATATGCATGTGATGCCTTCCAAAACAAATTAAATGTCACGTTTGGTAACAACCTAGACCTATTTGATTTAAGATGACTTCATTTTGGTTTGGTTTTAATGTTGGATTGATTCAGTTTGGATTTAATTTTGTCATACTAAAATAATATATTTTTGTGAAAAAGTTACGATTGTTAATAAATTAGATTTTAAATTTCACTTACTTTTCAAAATAAAAATTGATGACATTCATACAATCACTAATTTATTCACACATGTTACTTAAATAAAAGATTTAAAATGTATTGGTTTTCTCATGAAAAACGGTATTGAATAATATTGGAAAAAAGTATTAGCAAAAAAAATTATATTCAATTTTTAATATATTAGGTTCTACATTTTTAGATAATTTAAAGTTGTATAATGTTGGAAAGACCCAAGAGAGCTAATGGATATGGGTCATTGCCTTCCAATAGAACATTGAATACATTTTTGGCAAGGGAGACTCAGTTCAATTCAAAATGAACCCAATTGAACAAATCGGACAAAAAAAAAAAATCAAATGATCTTGACATTATAAAAAATTAACCAAATATTGTTTCTAATTAGCTTTGTTTAATTTTATCAAGTTCAATTGGTTATGTTTAATTTGCAACACCTTAATATATGACACAAATAATGCAACTATCACATGAAATTCTTACCTTGCATATAAGATGCGACCCGAAGTCCATGTCACACCCCAAATTTGTAAAAATAAGCAACAACATATTTATAGTTCAAGACAAGGACGTAGCCATAGACTGTTCTCCAGCCATAGCCCATTTTGCTGTTAAAGTGAGTTTCAATAAAATAATCCCAGCACACCAATCCACACTTATTTGCAGGTCACAATGTCATGAACAACGTGGATTGCAGAAACGCTTTGATTTGATCCAGAAATAAAGGGATATGCAATGTAGAAACTAGGAAAAGCTTCACTTTTGTATCATTCATTCTAGTAAAAGTGCTTTCATAGATATTTCCCGCGTTCAGTATCTCTGGTAAGCAATGTAGCAGAATCAGATGAAAGTGGATGAAAACAGAAGGATTGAAACAAGGTAGAGTCCAGCATATAAAGAAACTAGCTATTCATTACCACGTATCAATTTTTGTTCTTTGCCCATTTACACTGCAAAAAATTGAGTAGAAAGTGAGCTTGAACTTCCCCACACCCACCCAAACAAAATTTTAACTATTTTCTGACCATAACATTACAAAGCCCAAAAAATAAAATAAAAAAAAGGAATAGAGAAGGCAAGCTGTTCCCTCATCCTAAAATTATCCCTGCCCCTCTTAATAAAGATTTTACAATTGAATGCCAACAAAAGAATGAAAAAATAACTTTACAGCAGGGGCGAGATGTTGGGATTCAATCCAATAGATAGAAAAAGAAAAAAATATGAAAGGATTTACAACCACCATAGCAAGGACTATGGATCCCCAAGGGGCATGATTTCATTGCCCCAAAGATAAACCAACATAAAAAGCTTACTAAACTTCCTATCATGCCTACTCTTTTAAAAATTGGAAGGCTGGATTCTCAAGAAGTTCCTCTGCTGCTTTCATGTCTGAGAATTCCTTCGATTGCAGTGATGTAGAGAGGTCATCCACGGAGAAAGGGATACTGTAAGAGACAAAAATTAATAAACTTTTAACCAATTAAATTACATATAAAATTTTCCCCATCTAAGAGAATGGAGAGGTAAAGTTGCCACTAATCTGTAGCTCTCAAGCTCAAAAGGCAAGAAAGTTATAGCATCTCCTGAAGTCATTGCACGTACGAGCACTCTCACCTGGAATTATCATCCAGCAAGAATGAATCACTAAGAGCATTATTGGAGTCCTCGGCCATAAGCACCCTCATGCTTGAAAGGACCTGACGGAAAATTGGAAGCGTGTTAAATTTAACCAGGCATTCATATCTTCTGCTGCAAATTAGACAGTATTAAAAAAAAAAAAAATCTTACATCTGGGGATACACTTCGAGTATTATAATTAGCATCCCAATAAAGTGTACATATTCTATACAACTGCTGGACACTCAGGATCTGGTGTCAGGAAAAAGAAAAAAGGGGGGTGGAGTCAGAAACAAAGAAAGACCCATTCATAAGGAGTAAGAGCACAGCGATGTGCTTTCGTGACGATGCACCAGACACAAACTTTATCAGAGTTTGGGATGAAAAGACTTACAGGGCACAAATCATTGGTAATTTCATCATAGGAAATCCTGTACTTCTGATGAATAACCTGGATATAAAAATGGCATCAGTTAAACCAAATAAAAGTAACAAAGACATGCATGGAATGCGATCACTTCATGTCAAGTTTCTCAAGAACGAAAATAGAAATAAATGTTTTCTTGTTCAATTAAGACACTTGTCATCATATTCGTTATAAATAAAACCATCGCAAAGGCAGATGCTACAGGCCTCCATATAGACACAGATTAGCATAAAAAGTTTACCAAGCCTTTTTTACTGTCAAAGATGCAATTACCAAGCCTTAATGAAGATCTATACCAAAAAACATGAATACAACCACCTCATCACCGCCTAAGTTGGAGGCTCAACAATTTCACCACAAAGGATTATCTCATTTTAGCCTCTTCAAATTAGCAAACACACTGCAGTAGTTTATAAATTAATTAGGTTGGATAACTGCCATGGTTTAAAATCGCCATTGCCCAGTAAGCAGGCTTGACCTTTGCCTTCTCAACATGTCTCATTGCTGTCCTTGTTTGTAATAATCTGGGCATCTTAAAATTAAAAACTAAACAGTAAGTCTCATAAATTTGTTCAAGCATAATATTCTTCTAGAATCGAGAAAAGATGTACTCTCTCACAGTAAAGAACGAACAGTAAATCTAATTCTCCTTGAGTATGAAATCATGAAATCTCCCTTAATTAATATACTTATGATGCAGGAGTATAAGCAGATGCCTTTCATCCTTTACTTTGACTATATTTATCCTATCGTAAAAATCAGTTGCAAAATTCTCAGAATTATGAACAAGATTCATAGTAGATAAACCTTTAGATTATCAATATAATGAAATGATAGCTAGAACAAAGTAACGTTGATGTGAAACTGCATCATATAGAAAAAACAAGATACACTTACCAAGAACCCGACTGCCTGTCTTATGTGCTTCAGCTCATCCCAAGATGATCCAGCGTACTGCAAAATCCAAGGCAATTACTTGGAAATCAGAGCCATGAACCATCATGGAGATCCGTAAACCAGTCCAAAAGCAACAGTTAGCAACTATAGGGCATCACATCACTTTGTAATGGCCCAACTACACAATATAAAACAAGACCTAATAGCATAAGCAAGCAGCAAAGAGTAGTATTACATATGCTATTCATTGCACAAATCCACATACTGTCATGTGTTTAGTATATCAATGTAAAACACATCAAATTGCATAACAAGTGTAGATGAACAACAAAAGTCTAGTCAGCACAAAATTCAACTGTTGGCAAAAATACTAGTGATGTTAACAAAGGTTTGAGGTAACATTAGCAAAATGCAAGGGAAAGGTGATAGTGGTGGTGGCAGCCGTGACAGTGGTTTGCTTGTAAGTATGGTGTTTGTGGCTGCAACAGCAGTGGTGGATGAAAAAATGGTGATGAAAGCAAAGATGGTATCAACAATGACAGCTGGTGATTATGAAAACAGAGTATAATGATATATTAACAAATGGAAACAAAAATTTAGTTTTTATATTGAAAACTTTATATAGTTCTTATCAGGGCCTGCCTTGCATCTCAGGTGTATAATGTTATATAGTGATAGCCATAAAAAAATTGTGACTACTCACTTTTACCTAAAACTGTTCTATCCAATTTTTCATGGGGAATCAAACGGAACCTAAATTAATGAATGTAACAAGTAAAGTTAACAGATCATGGTAAAAGCCAACAAATCAATCACCTCCTCCTTTGCTTGGCAGCACCATAGTTCCAATTCTGCTAATCCAGCTTTACATATTCCCCATTGCTGAATGTGCAACAATCACGGCGTAGAAGAAGACTAGTAATAGTAAAATTTGTATATAGTTAATTTCTAAGCATCTAAAAATAAAAAGCATAATGATGCAAATATTTATGTTAAAAGATGCATGTAAAAAACAGTTACCTATTGAAGAGTTGTACATTAATATATGAGAATGTTTGAGTAAAGACCTTTTGGATGAGGACAGGAGGTACCTGAATCGCAAAAGTGGACATCATGTCATTAAATTAAAAGCAACAATAGCATAAACAGAACGGGGATCATATAATTACTTAAATTCCTAATTAACAAGTTAAAATTAATTTTCTTACAAAATTCTCCTTCAGTGTACAGAGGAGGGTGTTGAGGGATTCAATAATACTCTGCCAGTGACCCATAGGAGAGTCTTTACCAAATGATCGTCCAGACCGTAACACTCCCTTTGATGTTCGTGGTGCCTGTATATTCAGTGATAAATTTGAACACGGGGCATTACTATAAACATATGTAGCTCAAACAGAATGTAGCCATTGGATATTCAGAATGCTTTCAAAAGTTTCTAGAAATATCACAGAAAGGCAGGGACAGTAGCTGCATTGGAATGAAAAATGAGCTCATATGGATAAAAATACAAGGCCACAACTTTATCTATCCTTTAATGATTGGTTTAATGCCAACTTAGTTAAATAATTGTTAACTCAATTTCAACACACCTGTATACATAATGAAAGGAATGGTGTTAACTCCTTCTTCAAGTTGTCTCGAATGATGCCATATATTTTCTCCACATATGCTGTGAGCTGCTGCTTAAAAAGTAAAGCAGGGTATTTAGCCTCTACCTTGCGTACGATGTCCAATGCAGGGGCAGCAAGGTGGGCAGATGAAGGGGAAGAGCGAAAACCCTGCAATTTATCCATACATAAGCGAAATTTTATAAGCAGGAAGAAACATAAATCAAGTTAAACAAAATGTAATAAAGATTTGTTACCATAGCCATTCTTCCAAAAAGGGATGTTGGATTTGGTGGTTTTTTAACCGGAGTTGCATCACTTGTATTACCAGGTTTTAAACTTTCTTGGAGCAAAAACAATAATGTGGACGTATTTGTCAGCCAATAACCCATAAGATCATTGTCATCTTGATTCTGGACAGTAACAGAGAACAGAAAAGAAGAAAGACAAAAACTAGATTTAGACAAGTGCTCCAGTACCAGAAATAGGACCATAATAAAAATATAAAATATCACAAGAGAATCAGGACCACATATTTCAACAAGCAAAGGAACCACATGAAAGATTCATTGTTTAGTGCTTAAGCATATGAATGAGTTTAAAAAAAATCTTTAAAGAAAGATGGCTGAAGGAACAATGAGAACAATTAAAGAACGAGTAAGCCAGCATTCTGGCATGCATGCATGTTAATTTTACAGTTTTAGTACTCAGGATCTAAAACAGAAAATAGTCTTGCAACATGAATTTAAAGGCAAAAAGTACAGAACATATAATATAAGAGAAATAAACTGGTCATGAACAAAAGCTGTGATCTGGGAAGGTAACACAATATTCATTTGCATATGATAAAAAAAAAAAAAACGTACAGCTATCCATCAAAAGACTTGTTGAGTTTATCTTTCAACCCACTAGGCTATGGCAGTGTTATTTAGAGTACCATATTAGGGTTAAGACACTTTGGTTTTATGTGAATTTCAGTCTGCCATTGTTTTAAATGCCCTTTTTCTTTCTTTCCTTCTTTCAAATATGATACCAATAATTCCAGACAACCCACAGCATTCGTTACGGCCAGATGGGGGGAAAATCCTTCTGTTGCTGTAGGGCTGTACAGCAGTGCATCTTGAGTAAAACCACATGATAATAATCAGTGCTACTATAAACTTGAATGCAATTCTCAATATAATCAAGTTCTTAAGCAAGCTTTATAGCACCCAAAAGCATTAACACCCAATTGTTTATCGATTTGTTGAAAACTAAAA